GGATGCTGTTTCACGTGGGAATTGTCCTATTAATTAGTCTAACTTGTAGGAGGTTTTTATAATAAAGGAGAAACTTATTTTCTATGAAAGTCTATACTTTAAGCACATGAGATAGCTATTTGAAATTTTTCCATTTCTATTCTTTCTTTTCAGCCTGAAAACTACACAGAAAAGTCTGCATTGTCAGCTTGTTCGTTCTCTTCTCTACTTCTTCTTTTCTTTAAAAAAAAACATTTCACATCATCTGCTATCTCTTCTGCTCCTAGACAGCTTTTTCTTTTAATAAGAAAATAGAAGTTTATTCTTCGGACATTTCTGTTATCATTTCAAATGCTATAATGCTAGAGAACAAAAGACTATTCTTCAGTGGTCTTAATAATTTGGCATACAGGTCACTGAAGGACGGCAATGAAGGGGTAGAGAGCCTAGTAGAACCACATGCTTCTCTCAGTGTCAGAGCCAATATGGAAATGAGGCTCATGTGTCCCAATATCTAAAGCCCCTTTGACAAGTAGCTTAGTTGGGGAGAGTTGGTGCTAGAAGCTGTGGGTGAAAATACTACTCTTGCATTCTAAATGTTGCAATTTCCAAAATAGGGATCTCAAGAAATGCAAGCTCCAATGTGTTTTTCAAACAGCATGATTATATCATCGAATTTTTTGATTATGCTGCTGTCTTGAAGCCGTCTCTCAACTTCACAGCTACTGTAAGTTGGTGTGTTTGTTACTTATCCATTGCAGTTAGTTCAATTTAATGAAACAGAATGGGAAATGTTACTTCAATGATTTTCTAGAAATTAAAGCAAAACTGGGTAGAATACTTTCCTCCTTTAGATATATGAGAATTATAGAAACTTCAAATGATTTTTGTCTAATTTTTCCTAAAAAAGGTAATTTCTACAAGTAACAAACATTACTTTTTTAGATTTTTATTTATCTGAAAGGCAGAGTGGTAGAGAGAGATGGAGAGAGAAATCTTCCATCTGTTGATTTACTCCCCAAATGGCTGCAACAGCTAGGCTGGGCTACGCTGAGGCCAGGGCCAGGAACTTCATCCTGGTCTCTCATGGGGGTTCAGGGACCCAAAGACTTGACGCATCTTCTATGGCTTTTTCAGGCCTGTTAGCGGGCACCTCTACCTGAAGTGGACTAGCTGGGGCTAGAAACAGTGCTTCAGTATGGGATGCTGGTGTCGCAGGTGGTCACTCACATTACCTGGTGTACTATAACACTGGTCTCAATAAAAATATTTTCCTGAAAATTTGTTTATTTTTTTCTTAAATTATTTTTTCATAATTTTGATTAACATATAATACTTGCCATTGCAGCATGAAAGCAGCCACAGACAATTTCTAAGCAACTTAGAATGTGTACGTTTTGATAAAATACTGGATTGGCCTGCCTGCTTTCTGTAGTTTACTGACCTCTGACTTAAAGGAAGAGGGATTACTTCTTTTTGAGTGAGAAATTTTAGGTAGCTCCTGACTTGATTGATATTAACCATTTAGATAGTTTGAAAAAGGAAGCAAAATAGCACAAGGCTGTGAATGGTTGTTGCCAAATGAGTAGAGTGATACAGTGGGAGTTGGCGTGAGAGGCATTGCCTTGGGGTAGGTGAGAGGATTACAAAAGGATGCTTAATAGAGGAAGAGGCCCTGAGCCATTCCTTAAAGATCAGTAGGGTTAATGTTTGGGTATGGAATGGGTGATGTGGAGCAAGATGGACTGAGACAAAAAGAAAACTCTGGTTGACAAGTTTTAGGTGTATCTTGGTGACAGTGATTGGTGTGATAAAACAGGAGGAGGAGCTTGGGGAGCTGTAGAGGATCCTAAATGTCTCACCTGTGCATTGAACTTGATGCTCGAGGCAGCAAGGAGCCTAGGAGCCTTAGGAATGTGGGAGGAATATGACAAAAGCAGTGGTTGAGGAGGACCGATCAGGGCTGTGTGCAGGAGAGAGGGGACATCAGAGGCATGAGGTGACAAGGTGCCTTGTGGGGTTGACTGTGCAGCTGGAGAGGGTGGAAGAAAGAAATACAGGACTTGGCATTTACTGGATTTGGGAGGTGAGGAGAGGGGGTAAAATTCAGAGGTATTGAGTCATGGTGTTAGTGACAATAGGAAAGGAGAGTTGGTTGCTCAATATTAGAAGTGCTGAAATTGAGGTAACTAGGAGGACTAAGAAACTGCCTGCAGGGAATTACAGAAATTGAGTCTGAGCTCCAGAGAAAGATGAGGGTGGAAATTCTGGGTGTGGATACAATCACAACAAAATACTCTAAGCCATGGAAGTACTGAGAACTTTGAGGCAGAGGGAAGAAATGATGGCTGATAATTGGCCTGGATACATTTCTACAAATAGGGAGAGGGAAGAGGAACCAAAAAGGACATGGAGAAAGAGAAGTATGGGAGGAGGAGGTTGTTGCGGAGCCACGGAAGACAAGGAAGTCATACCACGGAGAAGGCAGCGGTCAGTGGTGTTGGAGGCCACCCAGAGAGAGGCTACCAGTTCTGGAAACCAGAGTGCTACCTGTAATTTCTGAGCGCTCAGTTTCATGGGAATAGTCCATATGGACACGGGGTTCCGTTGAATTGCAACCCATCGCTTCCCTTGTTCCCTGGCTTTAAGATGTGTTGTTTTGACAACCAGGTGAAGGTTGCCCGTTCTGATGGCCATCAGCTAACTCCTGAAGAGAGAAGCAATAATGTCGTCATAGCAGTGCTGCAGAGAAACAGCACCAACCTCTGGACCAGGTGGAGCAGCAGAAATGAGGAAACAGCAGCCGTCCAGAACATCAGTTATGCTCTCCCCCCAAGTGGAATCTTTACGATTGAATTCCCAATCCTGGACAATTCCGCTGAGCTACAATTGAAGGTGCCAGCTGCTTCTACTCATTGTGCTACTGTAACTTGTAATCCTGGGATGAGCACTCAGGCTGTCTGGACCCAGTGTGCATAAGAAGTGGACATGTTTCCATTCAAAAAGAAAGTGAGACAGTGCAAAAAGTGATTTTATAACAGCCGCTGAGGGTTTGACCAAATGCTCTCTTCTAAGTTCATTTTGAAGAGCGTAGTAAAATACGCTAGCCCTGCTAGCCCCCGGTCTGGGTTGATTTTTTTTTTTTTTTTTACAGGCAGAGTGGACAGCGAGAGAGAGAGACAGAGAGAAAGGTCTTCCTTTGCCGTTGGTTCACCCTCCAATGGCTGTCTCGGCCGGTGCGCTGCGCTGATCCTCAGCCAGGAGCCAGGTGCTTCTCCTGGTCTCCCATGGCGTGCAGGGCCCAAACACTTGGGCCATCCTCCACTGCACTCCCAGGCCACAGCAGAGAGCTGGCCTGGAAGAGGGGCAACCGGGACAGAATCTGGCGCCCCGACCGGGACTAGAACCTGGAGTGCCAGCGCCACAGGCGGAGGATTAGCCTAGTGAGCCGCGGCGCCGGCCTGGGTTGATTTTCAATCATGTGGAAGCTTATTGTGGCAGGAACTGAAATGAAAGTGGATTGTACATACATTTTTACATACATATGTTTGCTGAGCAGCCTTTCTCAGAGTGGCTCACGTGAGACTCCCCAGCCAGCCCTGTTACCTTTCTTCTGGTTATTTAGCCCTGCCCAGAGCAGGGTGCTCCACACCTGTGGCCTTTCAGAGTTTTACTCTGAACATCGGTGGATGGAGCTGAGTGCTATGATTTCTTGCTTGTATTTGAACTATGTGTTGTGGAAAAAGGAACGGTCCCTCTTTCATTTCATTCTCTTTTATCCCAGTGTTTCCTATTAAAATACTTTTGTTCGGAAATAAGCTAAGACTATGCTTTTTCCTCTTAGGTTATGGTGGTGAAGATCCTTTCCTACGTTTTAAAGCTATCAGTTTCTTTATGATATATGATGTAAAATGTCAAAGACCCCATTTCTGGTGAATCTATTTTTTTTTCTGCGTGGAAAAAGAAAAAGTGAATTTGAATTTTGATAATTGTTGAGCAGGTAGCATTCTCAAAGTGTCACTAAAGAAGAAGACTTACAGCTTTCTTTTCTTTTGTTATAGGCCTATTTTCTTGACAGTGTAAGTAGCATGGCAGTCCATGGTATGTTTACATCTCCTAGTAAGACATACATCCAGCTCAAAACAAGAGATGAAAATGTCAAGGTAATGCTTACAGCTCACTTGTTATTACAGTACAGTTGGATACACTTCCCACTGGTATGTTCCAACTAACAAAGACTTGTTTTTTCTAGGTGGGGTCACCGTTTGAGTTGGTGGTTACTAGCAACAAGCCCTTGAAGGAGTTAAGCTATATGGTAATCTCTTACATAATCAAAATTTATGATCTGTTATAGATTGAGCTTTATTAAATGGTGTCTACCCTATGTTTACACTGAACGTACTAATTTCTTTCTTTTTTTAAAGACATTTATTATTTATTGGAAAGGTAGAGTTACAGAGAGGCAGAGGTGGAGGTAGAGGTAGAGAGAGAGGTTTTCCATCCACTGGTTTACT